ATTACACAAGGGTGGTCAAAGAACGTAATACAATTATTTTTGAAAAAAAGAATATTTGTTGGAGGACTTCCAGAAAGCATTTGATATGATATTGAAATTTGAACTAAAAAAATGATTAAAATTGGGATAAAGAAAAACATGCTAAGGTGGATTAATTATTTTCTTACTAACAGAACCATACGGGTCAAAATCGTACCCCTCAAGGAAGTTGTATCAGCCCGACATTAATCAATATTATGGTAAATGATCTCCACACATGCATTAATAATTGCTCTATTTTCCAATTTGCAGACAACAGTGCTATATGGTTGTGTGGTAAAAATATTGGTTATATTCAAAGGATAATACAGAAAGATCTTGACAAGACATGTATTAAAACATGGTGTAATAAATGGGGATTTCATATTTCCCCCTCAAAAACTTCGTTAAAACATATGCAATATATTGAGGCAAAATGCAGGAATGTCTTAAACTGTATGAAACTTCTTACTGGTACTCAGTCGGGAGCAAATAGTCATTCTCTTAGAAACATATATATTGCACTAATAAGATCAAAATAGACTACAAATGTGAAGTATACAACTCCGCCTCATATTATATGAAGAAAATTCTGGACCAGGTGCAAAGTCAAGCACTTCGAATTTGTACAGGTGCATATAAAAATTTAGCCATTAATGGACTGCAGGTAGAAATTGGTGACCCAAGAACGTAGGTGGTGTTTAATTACCAAATCCTTTTTGAATATATCTTATGATGATAATCCTGCAACTAGGAAAATCTTAGCATAAAAAGCAACCTTTCTTTGCTACTCCATGGAAATAAAACAGACTAGAAAACTTTTCTTCTCTATTGCAAAAGATATGATTCATCAAAATGATAAAGACGTTAACCAAATATATAGATACAAACAATTCCCAACCCCGGCCCCTTTTGGCATTTTTTTAAACCCTGTGTATGTTCACAACTCTCGATACTCATCTCGAAAAAGGACAATCCATACCTAATTCGATGTGAAAATAACTTCATGATTGATACGCAATATTGCCAGTTTTAAAAGAATGTACACGGACGGATCTAACGATCCCAATTCTAATAATACCCCATGCGCTTTTGCTATTCCCGAAATGAGGATAAAAAAGGTTTCAAACTGCTTTAGACTATGTCAATTTTTACTTGTGAGCTTATGGCAACATTTATGTCCCTTATATGGGTAGAAGAATTTAAACCAAATAATGCGATTATATTTGTCGACTCTTTATCAGCTCTCCATGGTTTAAATATCAATTTATTTAAGGGAAACAAATATTCATTGTATGATATGTCCCCCGCGTTGCACATATTTTATCTGTCCAAGGTCTTAGGGCAATAATTAAAAAAAATAATTGTTTTTGGTTCTTTAATTTTTTTTTATAAATATCATAGAGAAATGAAGGCTTGAGAACAAATTCAATCCAATTTCCGATATAATTAATATATCTAAGGGGCATTTTTCGTTAAAGCACTTATTTTCGAAATTGTTGGAGACATCGCTGAGATAAACCTATGATATAAGTTTCATAAAAATCTTGCAGGAATTGTACACATGAAAGCGCTAACAATGTCATTTTCCATATAAGCAATATTTCAAAGGAGCATTACTCTTAAAAAAAAATGATTGGCACTAATTTTCGAAATTGTCCAAGACATTGCTGATATAAACATATGATAAAAATTTCATAAAAATCTGGCAAGAATTGTACACATGAGAGCGCTAACGATCCATGTAATAATTTTTCCAAGGGGCATAACTCTTTTAAAGATAATTGATCGGCACTGATTTTCGAACTCGTCCAAAGCATTGCTGATATAAACCTACAATATAAGTTTCATAGAAATCTGGCAAGAATTATACAAATGAGAGCGCTTACAATGCAATTTTCCATACAGTTAATGTTTCCAAGGGGCATAACTCTTAAAAATAATTAACCGGTACTGTTTTCCGAGCTCGTCCAAGAAATTGCTGATATAAACCTACAATATAAGTTTCATAAAAGTCTGGCAGGAGTTGTAAAATTGAGAGCGGTAACGATGCAATTTTCCATATAATCAATGTTTCCAAGGGGCATAACTCTTTTCAAAATAGTTCATCTCTACTGGTTTTCAAACTCGTTCGTGACATTGCTTATATAAATTTTTGATATAAGTTCTATAAAATCTGGTGAGGGTGCTAAGAAGACCGAACGGAAGGACGCAAGGACGGACGGACGCCCGGAATTTTTATATCCCCCTCAACGCGTGGCGTGGGGGACAAAAATGTTGTAAATATATCGGCATTAAGCGGAGCGTTATCTTTAAAAATTCAATATAACAATTGGACAAAAATGGCTGTGTTTACACCTCTAAATTTACTCTGACTAAAGACAAACCTTCTGTTAATGTAAGATAATGCCCACAAGCCACAACCTGATTATACTGCCATGAATCGGGTGTGCATACTGACATCATTCCCCACCTCTCACCCTAAAAATTTGAATTTATTCAGCATTGTCACCGAAACGTTGAAACCTCGACTGGTCGAACTGATACAATCCAAAGAGGAAGAGCATTCAAATCTCTGATGTTTTTTGGGAAGAATGGATATTTGTGGTAATCACTTGATGCCGACGATGGTAACTGGCAGCATATTTCCACGACAGCTGTTTCGGTGGTATTAGCCATTTCCATTTCGTTTTCCAGGTACCAAATTGGATCTTTTTGTTATTCATTTGAATATTTGTCTGATGATATTGTGAGGTATAATATTGTGTCGTCTACAATTTAGAGGACAATGGGCTTGGTCCCATCGAATGTGTCTTTGATGAAGAACAAAAATAATGGAGGCCAAAGTACCAGATGAGTTTTCTCCATTCACAACTATTGCTGGAGTCCGATGAAACAGAAAGATAGCGAGTAACTTATTGGCTTTTCCTTGGTTTCCATAGTGTTCAGTTTATGTATAAAGAAACTGTCAGGCTGATATCCAGTTGAAAACAAACAAAAGAAATTGAACTCTTTATTAGGTAAAAATGGCCTAGTTGGTAAATTTGGATTGTTTACATCTGTTTTAATGTCCTTTAAAAGAGTATTGTATGTGCATTATTTAGGATTTTTTACATCTTGTATTTGTTATACTCAGATTAAAGTATGGAGCTAAGAAATATTTTAAACTTTTAAATTCAAAACAATGTTTTACAAAAGAGACGATTTCAGTAAATGCAATTTTACTTTTGGAGCTTCAAGATGCATGAGCATAAATTCAGCTGCAAACAATCCACATAAAGATATAATTTCATCTTTTAAAAGCATTAATTTTGCAAACCTGCCTCCAGCAACAGTATTTTGTGAAAAAAATCTAAAAATGGACATTAATCTTATCTACAAAAAGGATTTTCAAATTTTTTTTTTGACGAAAACTTTATCATACTAGGGAAGAAATTAGTCAATCATTTGTCCTTTCCTGCGAACAGATCCATTGTTGAAGTGTCAACATACTTCTTCGTAATCTTATGCATTTATTTCTGCTTATTAATGTATTTGATTTTAAGAATAGTATATATTTTGGAATAAAAAGAGCTGATGATTACTTAAATGAGCATGAACGAAAAGACAAAAGGCAAAAAAAAAAAAAAATCGTAAGGGGTTCCGCGGAACCCTGTGACTCACCTGCGATTGCTGCTGTGAAAGTGTAATGTTGACTTTATCAGTAAAAGACAGAATTTATAAAAAAAAAAAACTTTTCTTTAGATGAAATGTTTGGGCCTTGAAGATAAGCTGCTAAAGACAAAGTTTCATAACAAATGTTAACTTTAAACACACTAAGTCCATCTTTCAGAAAAATACTGAAAATGAAAAAAAACATTTTTTTCAAAAGTTTGCTTCAGACATCATCTCTTAATCCTGAAAAAAGCTTTTGCCTAAGGTTAATAAAATTCTATGCTGGTTTGACAAAGCAATTGATGTGAAAATAACTTTAACCCCAGACTGTATCTACTTGTTATCTACTGTAAAAACCTAAATCCCTTTATCATTAAAATACTAAAAAAATGAAAATAAATATTTTCAAAATTTTGCTCTGGATGCCTCTTTTTTTTTTTTTTTTTTGGTCATAAACAAGCGTCTGTCCAAATTTCATAAAATTCCATCAAGGTTTGACAAAGTCATTGATGGCTGGAAAACTTTGACCTATGACTGAGCTTGAGTGTTTACTGTAACAAAACTAAGTTCATTTATCAGTAAAATACAAAAAAATGAAAATAAAAATATTTTCAAAATTTCACTTTGGATATTGTCTTTTTACCATAAACAAGCTTTTGTCCAAATTCCATAAAATTTCATGAAGGTTTGACAAAGTTGTTGATGAATGAAAAACGTTAACCTCATACTTAATCTGAATGTTAACTGCGTCCATTTATTAGCAAAATTCGGAAAAATGAAAATAGATATTTTCAAAATTTAGCTCTGGATACTGACTTTTGGTCATAAACAAGCTTCTGTCCAAATTTCATAAAATTTACGAAGGTTTAACAAAGTTATTAATGTCTAAAAAGGACTTTAACCACACACTGAACCTAAATTTTACCGCCTCTGACGACTGCGCCGACGCTGACGACGGAATCTAGGATCGCTATGTCTCGCTTTCCCGACATCAATGTCACAGGCTCAACATCTTAATCTTTGTTCCGAAATATACGAGTGTAGCAATACAAACACTGATATTTTAGTTATATGTGAAACTGAAATTGTAAAAACAGAATTGCACTAAGAGGATGGGAAATCTTTCAAAGATATAAAACAATGAAAGACACTTATGTCTGTGACTCTTCAGTAAAAAAATCTGATCATAGTCATTATAAAAAAGTAGTAAACTAACAAAACATCATGTAGCGAGAAATAATGAAATCATTGTAGAATATATTAATTGATATATGTTTGCTTTATCAATTCTTGCTTGTATTTAAAAACAAAACAACATAAAAGCTTACCTTGACCATGGTAAGCAGTACTTAATGCAACAACACTTAATAGAAATATACAAATCATGTTCATCGTCGGACAACTTTTGCATGTATAACTTTAAACTTTACACGATTTTATAATTTATATAAAAAACTTACAGGATCGGACTGTTGCAACGTATCATTTTACAGTGTAAATTTGTAACGATAAAGAGAAACTGTTATGCTATAAGTATGTACAAATATACTTAAAATAAAAAATAACGCATTCCATCTTATCATATTTAGTGGGTTTATAATTTCTGGTTTTTGCTAAAAAAAAATGTCTAGAAATCTATTATATATTAGCATAACCTTGAAATAAATGCAGAGTTTACAGAGAAATGTTCCTTTTAGTGGTGACAATGGACATTTCAATTACAAAAGTAACATTCAGTCATTTTCAAATTTTTCAGGTGAAAAGATACACACAAATTTAATTCTTACAAATGCGGTAACATGTTTTGTTTCATTGATTAAAAAAAAAATTTTAAATGTTAAAATTAAAATTAAGAATATTCTAATTTTAACAGAATCTGATTTCGATGACTTCAGAAATATGTGTCAATAGTTTTACCTATTTCAATAATTTTGTTTAAAATTATAAGCAAGAGAAATGTTTACTCCAAAGATAGTCATGGAGGTGGTGCGTTTCTTTTGTTGTTTAGTATAGAAGTACATTTCCGCTGTAAAGATACTAATGATTGTAGACATGTTAAAATAGTAAACAAACGAAACCAAAACATTTTCAGGTTTAAGATGGTAACCATGAAGTTGGAAAATTTCTCATTGAAGATAATAATGATACAATAAAGGCAGTCCTAAAGCCGAATTATATTGATGAATTTAGTACCGGGTATAGTATGTATTTCTTATGCAATATCTGATGAACAGGAGCGGTTCTGGTGGCGTTGATGAAAGATGTCAGCTTCTTCAAGAAGCGAACATTATCAACGTCACAAAGCTGTGATATGGGACTTACGAAGAACTGAGGAGGTTGATACATGCGTACATAAGTCTGACTACGTTTATAAATCATCATCCCATTCCATCTAAAAAGATGATTTCGCAGTACTCTGTAATCCAAAAAAAAAACAAAAGTGTCTTAAGCGCCTGTGCTATTTATAATTATTTAGGAGTGTTGACAAAAAGCAATATGTAGATAATTATCTTACAAGTATTGATCAGAATGTTCTTCTAGAATAAAATACAAATGCAGCTACATTGTATCTGTCATTTATACATTATGTATGTGGTTTTTTTTACTTATTTGATACTTGTTTCTTTTGCCAAGTCAAATAATTTAGAAGGTTGAACAATCCCGTAACTGTATTAAAAACGCGGTTTTGTCGTCAGCTTTGTTATGTGTAGACAGTTTAGTACTGTCCAGACTAATGTCATTGACACTGGTGTTTGTAACCTGCATATACTTAAAAAAAAAAAGAAGAAAACTGTTATAATATTATTCTAAATAAAGTTATATGTAACATGTTTCACATGTAAAATAAATCATAGTTCACATGCGATTAAATCTGTAATAGTTCAAAAGAGATTTGTGAGTAATGTATTGAAAATTGACATTTCAATTCGTTTAAAAAAAATCTAATTACACATTCAGATATATTAATGATGTTCTTTCCATTGACAATCCAAACTTTTCTGATTGGGTTCCTTTAACCTATTCCCCAGAACTAGAAATTAAAGATACAACAGAAACGGCTTCCTCTGCCTCATATTTAGGCTTATACTTCGAATTTGACATAAGCGGCCATCTTAGTACCAGAATCTATAACAAACGAGACGATTTTAATTTCGAAATTATTAATTTCCCACACCTTAGCAGCAATTTACCAACTTTACCTGCATATGGGATATACATTTCCCAACTCATTCGTTATTCAAGAGCCTGCAGCTGCTACTCAGACTTTATGAAACGTCACAAGTATCTGAGCAGAAAGTTGATGAGCCAAGTTATATCAAAGAACGTCTCGTCCTTTTTCTAAAAACAATTCATTGGAAGATACCATTACCTTGTTGATAAATATTCCGTATCAACTTCACAAATAATACATAATGGTCTTGAAGTATAGATTCTAGGTACTGCCGTTGTTTATCATCTTAATTACATGTTTTAGTGGTCTTTTTATTTGTCCTTATACATTTCTAACGTTTACTGTTCTTACTAAGTCCATGTATGGTAATATACTTTCGCTTGTTACTTATACATACATAACATGCATTGTGTTATTGTGCTATGGTCAATTTTGTATTATGGTAAAAAAGTAGTGCTGCATATACCTACGCGTATTATCATATACAATATTATATGTGCCTGCAGGTCACACAATAATTTATCTGTATCAAATGTGCCTGCAGTTCACACAGTCTGACCAAAATTTATCTGTACCATAGGTGCCTGCAGATCACATCACTTAAGATATTTAGATTTATCTTTTTGGTTGGGACTACATTAACTTGCGTATACACTTTTCGTAGTGCAACGGTTTTGACGTTGGGTGACTGGCAGTAACCCTTCACATAAGCTTTTATCCTCGTGCCTTTTGAACAGCGGTATACTACTGTTGCCTTTATTTAACAGAGACCTGATTGTTTTGGCCCATTCCTACAAAGTGTCCAGTTCAACCTCTTTTCGTTTAGCCCATGCTTTGGCGTAGTCTTCAATGGAATCCATAATTAGTTTGAAGTTGTGGTTCTAATTGATGTGTTGGGGTTCTCTGAACTTAGGACCATACGATATCACCTTTCGGAGATGTTAATGTTGAATTTTGTTTAGATCCCCAATAATAGCATGGCCAGAGGGGCTGTAAATATTAGGCGAGTGGGAACAGTCATATGTCAGAGGTTTCATTTTAGGTATTCTTCTAAATGAAGGTCCTACAATGTCTGCTTATAGTTAAATACTTTAGGTGCAATGATTTTTTTGTGTAACTTTAGGATATAATAGGAACAGATTTATTTTAAAAATAAAGTGGAATATTAGATGTACCTCTTTGTGATAACATACATTGCTGATGTTGATAGCATCAATTCCTTTATTAGTAAACTGAACAGGAAGGAATTTCCTCTTTTTTTGTCATGTAAAAGTTCCGATCTTACTGGTTTAAAGAAGACGGAAAAGAGCTACATCACAAATCATATTGACCAATGGAGAAAATGCATCCCTTGTCAAGTGCATAATCTCTCAAACATTTAAGAAATTTAACAGGCAGTGAAAAAAGAATAGTTCTAATTTAATGTAACCCTAGTGGATGATGAAGAGGTCATCAAAGCTCCCAGAGGGCGATCTAAATTTGGAAAACTTTTTTACATTGAGCCGGTGGTAATGTTTTTGCCCATGACTACGCTGGGTTTTTAAGGTAGTATTAAATAAGCTTATTAGATTTACACCACTGTAGACTAGACTTGACACATTTTCTACTCCTTTGATGTTATCATTGCAACCTTATGGCATTGCAGTACCTAGTTCCCTTATCCATGAATTATCTCTATTTTTTTTGGAACGGAGTATATTTTAAACACTTCTTCACTTTGTCCATAGGTCTTTGTAAGATTTTGATTTACTTGACGTCCGTCTCCCGTCGTAAAATTTTGAAAACTCCTCCTCTGAAAACTAATTTGGCAATCATACCACATCTTCTTATTTTTATATTGGTAAGAATTTACCTCAGATAATAAATATATAAATTATATTTGGGGGTCACCGATATCAACTAACATGTTCGCCATTACAACAAAAATAGAGCATGAGGTTAAACTACTAGTAGTTGACTCATGTTCAAAACAAAACATAGAAGAGATACAAATCTGACAGTTGTAAAACAGATCTAATTGTCTAATTCTACCTACACTGCAAAGCACTTGTTATTTTTTAACAAAATTGTCAGACACCGCATTCCAGGAGATATTTTCCTTGATTGACATTTTTTCCGATGTTAGCGTTTTGTCTATCACCTTGAAAACTAAAATAGATGATATTATCACTTGATCTTAAACTAAAAAAGCCATGGCAAAAAAAGAAAAAAACGAGGAAAAGACAAATAACTGTCTACAAAACTACAAAACACAACACGGAAACTAAAAATTGAGCAACATAAATCGAATCAAATACAGGGGTGATGTAAGCTGATCTTTAAGCGTTAGCAGATCCTGTTTCACATGTGGCACATATAATTTCAAATTAAGTGATAAGTCTCATTCGGTGTTGTAACATTCGAGAAAAAGAGGACGAGATTGTGGTTCTGATAATTGGAACATATCAAACATCCTTGTAAGCATCAGCCCGGCCCTCTATCAAGATAAACGTGATAATAAATTCAAACTCTGGGGTATCGTATCAACTGATATATATATATACACCATATGCAGGCGCAGCTGGAATGTTGCTGGAAAGCTGAAATCATCTCTTTTGTCGTATAGGTTTGTTCTTAACCTACCTTTACTGTCAATGTATAATGTAAGTCAAGATAGGAAGCAGACGGTACATGTATCCTTTATTATTTCATATCGGTTAAGAATTAGCTTCTCTTATTGGATAACAAGGGACCACATGACATTCTTTATTCTTTAGTAAAAAAAATCCATCGGTCTTTAACAGAAATAAACGGACCAGAAAACCGGTCGTTAACGAACTTTTACATGTTAATGACCGGTGGGGCGTGGTTTCTCTGTTAAGAGTGATGTCAATTTTCTATTGAAGTTTTTGAATTGTTTACCACATGTTTTCGTTAATTATAAAATTATAGAAAACTTTATTTTGTATTCATTTACTAAAAATTTCACTTAAATGAATGGCAGTGACTTATAGTATTCACTATGACTGGTCTTCGCTCTTAGAAATCTACAATAACTCGAGTTTGCTTTGAACAATTTGAATTTATGAGATTTTTTAAAAACATGGTTCCTCAATGAAATAAACATAATAGTTATTTACATCAGAACGAACTCAGATGGAATGACCATCTGAACAATATATGTAATTTAGCAATTTGAAAAATTATTTTCTTAAAACAAAATTAAAATATAGGATCAACAACAATAAAGAAGAATCCCTACAAATCATTCGAAAGACAAAATGTAGAATATACTCCAGTCCAGTATGTGATCCATATTTTAAAACAGAGACTGACCAACTCGAGATATAGGTTCGTTCTGATGTAAATATGCAGCCTATGGATGGTATGATGTATACTGATTCAAGAGTGTAACTTTTTAAGTTGTAAGATGTTGTAATTGTGTCGAGTTCATGCTGATGGTGAGTACGTAACGTTTGTCTGGATGCCAGGACATTTTCCATTTCGTTTCCAAATAACAAAGATTTTTTATATCTTTTTGTAAGTCATTTGAATCTTTTTCTGATGATATTGTGAGGTATACTGTTGTGTCGGTTGCAAATAATCGAACAGTGGATGTAATCCCATCGGACATGTTGTTAGTGTAAAAACAAAAATAATGGAGGCCAAAGTACGAGCATTATCCGTCCAAAACTACTGCTCGAGTCCGATGACACAGAAAGCTACCTATTGATTTTCCTTTGGATTCCATAGTGATTCAGTTTATATATGAGGACGCTGGTTTGGTTTTTTTTTTTTTTTTTATTATTTTTTTTTTGGGGGGGGGGGGGTGGTCCTCTATGTTTTTCAACTTCGTACTTTATTCAGTCTTTTTAAAAGAGAGGCGAAGGATACCAAAGGGACATTCAAACTCACAAGTCGAAAACAAATAGACAACGCCATGGCTAAAAAAGAAAAAGACAAAGAGACAAACAACAGTACACAAAACACAACATAGAAAACCAAAGACTGAGCAACACGAACCCCACCAATACTAGTCTCAGGTGCTCCGGGACTCTTATAATTCAAGCGTCACTAGTGAGTCTATTGTAGACGAAACGCGCGTCTGGTGGGCAAAATTTTAAGCCTGGTATCTTTGATGAGTTTAGTTTCTGACCTTATCAAAAGCTGTCGAAAAATCCATTATGAGTATGTCTGTTTGATTACCTGCGTTTATGTTGTTTGTGATATCTATCAATTCAATCAATTTAGTTTGGCACGATCTATTACTACGAAAACCGTTTCGTAACGTAAGGAAAATTTGGTGAAGATCTGCATGTTTCATGAAAGCATGGCTTGTAATATGTGTTCCAGAAGTTGGTAGCAGATTTATGCCAAATTTTTCCGGTCGGTAGTCGGTAGGTCTCTTCTTTATATTTCTCTGGGCAGGTGGAACTGTTGTAATGCATATCGTCTACTTGATATATAAAAGTTAAATACATGCATTTTGTTGTTTAGGATTTTGAGATTCTTTTTATTCATCACTGCAAAAGATGGTAAAATATACAAACATTTGAATAATATATTTGGTCCTATTCAATCACTAACACTGATTTGATGACCTATGGTTTTGTAGATCAATACAAAACGATTGTTTCATGAGAGGTGGTATCTCAACAATTGTACCCAGCTTATGTTTTACACCTTCTGCAGAACGAAATAAAAAGCTTAGCAAAATTAATAAAAAGTGGGTTTTTTCTCTTTCGGAAACACAAAATGCATTTAACTTTTATATATTTAATGGGTTCTAACTTTTCTTACTGCCAATTGAAATACAAAGTTTAAATCTTGCGTTTTATGTGCTTTTTCTTTTCTAGAAATCCATATTAGGAACAATTACTAGATATCGTTTGTTTATAATTTGTGTAGGTCTGTTGGTGTTTCGTTTGTTCTTACTTAGTGTCTGTTTTTATTTAGAGCTCGATAGTTGGTGCTTTATTGCTTTTCAACTAACATCATTTATAACATGCATTTCTTAAATTTTCTGTTGATGAATTTTAAAAACTACGGTTCAAACTCCCTCTCGTCCTGAACATGCATGAAATATTTGCCACTTGACGTTAAGCAACCAACAATCAATCCAACTACCTCAGATTTAGTTGACCTGAGATAGTTTTTGCTTTCTGTTTTGGGTCCTATGTGATCATATAAATAAAGACAGCAGTAGTATACCGGTGTTCAAAAGTCATAAATCGATTGAGAGAAAACAAATCTGGGTTACAAACTAAAACCGAGGGAAACACATCAACTATAAGAGGAAAACAAAGGAACAACAGGAACACTGAAGTGCAACAAAAACAAACGCCAACATACATAGAAACGAATTATTTGATAACAACTGCCATATTCCTGACTTCGAACAGGAAATTTTAAGAAAAAAAGGGTAGGCTGAACCTGGTTTTACGGCTAGCCAAACCTCCCGATTATATGCATGTTGCTATGTCATCAAGTATTTGTAAATCCCTGACCTGGGCTTTATCGTTCTTGACGAAGATAAATTCAGATAAGAGGTTCTAACGCATAGTACATTTATTTACATTATTTTCCAGCACTAGGTCGATGGCGATGACTACTTTATTCAACAAACTGACTGTTAAACTTTCGCAGTATTTTGTATTGCTTACGTATGTTTTTTTACAAAACGCCATAAATTATTTAATCATTCGAAGATAATAATAAACAGGTTGAAAATTTAAAAAGATTAATAATTGATGCAAATTCACTCGATTTTCAATCATGTGATCTTTCGAATAGCCTTTAAAGTAATTTTTTGCGAGGATTTACATCTTTATTTTCATCGTTTATAAAGAATGTTACAACGAATTAAACAATTTCTTCAACTGTTTGATTGATACAAATTGTCATTTGACCTAGTTCAATACATTACACTCGTCAATGGACAATTACTAAGGAAATAATTACAATACATAATGATATTTTTTCAAATTTTTTTAGGTTTTGATACAAATATCACCTTTAATTTTCGCTCATCTAATTTCAAATTGCTGTTCTAGAACCACGAAAGTTATTGAAGTTTGTCCACAACACGAGAAATACTAATCAAAATCGATATAATGTTGACTTTCGGTGTCAGAAGAGTTCATTTGGAAAACGGAAGAATCTGACATTACACTAATTTATCATAATTTGAATTGCATGATGCATATTAGTTCTTTGAGTTTTATTTAAAGTTGACAAGATGGTGATAAGGTCCGAGGACACAGTTATCGTCCTTAGATTTTCGTTGTCTACGAATATAGTCCCTAGTGTGGACAGTGTATAACTTGCAAATTTTTTTCATACACTTTCCAAATTCATTTCTTTATATTTTATGCATGAAATATTAAGTAAGGGGATGAAATTACATGTTAAAAAAATTTTGGTGCTGAATCTTTATGTAAAGTAGTGATTTGGTCCAGTTAAAAAAGGTCAAAAACTAGTATGTCTGAAGCTGTCAAACTGAATTATAGACCCCCTTAACATAGAATTGTCAATATTTTGAGTTAGAGCTGGTAGACTTTTCTATAATTTTGATATTATTTGTCCCAATAGTAGTACACTACACTGTAAAAATCTTTTTGAGATAGAGCAGGTGCGATTTTTTTAATTTGACTTTATTGTCTAAAAGAAATGCACTACGAAATAACTGTGTTCTCGGGCAATAAGGTGTGTGATGAATCGCAATACTTGACTTTATAAACAAAAGGTTGCTTAAGTAAGCTAAGCTTTTTTTTTCAAAAGCTGACATTTATAAATAGGCAAGATATACAATTTTAAGACACAGGACCAATACGGTGATTTGACTTTAGATTAGAGTTATTGCCCTTAATTTGAAAAGAATGCATATAAATATTAATTCATTTAAAAAAAACCTACACACATCTGACAAAGCCAAAAGCAAAGGAACAGAGTTTCTGTTCTTTTTTCAAACGTCAAAATCACTATTTTATTCATTATTATGATCTTCCCTGCTAGTACTTCTACTTACAATGTATCGAAATTAATCAACTTTAAAAGAACAATCTTCAGGTTGTCCGAATTCTAGTGCGTAAATATATATTCCGATGCATCAGCTATTGTGGCTGCCATGACGAAAACATGAACACAGAATTAATATCCAAATAAATGCTTTCAAAACTCTAGTAATTTGAGAAATTTGAGCGGATCGAAAAGTAACGATCGACTGACTAACTGCATGTATATCCATTTGAGATATTGACCTTAAATATGATTTTGATGTGGTTTTAGCGTATTGGGAAAATCATCTTGAAAACACATATAGATAGAAAGAAATTGATGAACAGGTTAATCATGATCAACAAATCATTTCATTGGTCGTTTATATTTAAGGTGTCTGCTTAGTGGTGAGCCATTTGATTTGAGGGAAGGAGGAGGGCTAAGATAGTTTTTATCCTGATGTTAACGTTAATATCGCAATGCGATTCTGTCAATGAAAAGAAAAATAAATAAATGGTCTTGATATTACATAAACGCAATCGAAAAGATATTTATTTGAAAATAAATAATTTCAAGAAAAAAATTGCAATCGTTGAAAAAAGAAAATAGAATATAAAATTGGCATATTTTAGACAGGAGAGCGATTCAGGCTATTATACTCCTCTAGTTTCCATTTTGTAATGTATGATACATGTAAGTATCAATAGCATTACATTGATATAGTAAATTAGAAATTCTTCCTTTTCTGAAAGGCTTGGAATGTCTTCAAGATACAACAACTACTTTAGCAGATACCAATCCTTCACGTAGCCGCATCCTGTAGGTATAACTGAGGTATAGAAATAAGGTCATGTTGATAATCATCCGACCGGCAATAAAAATCCTCTTGCCAGAGTAGAGCATCCGTTTGGTTGTGCCCAACGTATAAATTTGCAGCCATGTCCACATAGAAGGGAAAGGGAATTAGTACTCCTAAAACGAGTTTTACCAACCCCAAATGTTAATGTGTTATTCTTGTCTGCAGTTTTCACTGTTTCTTTCAATGTTTTTGTTGTCAATTTATAAATTTGTGTTGATTTCGAAAGTTTGGTTTTCTGTGATGAACTCATGCAAATCCTTTCTGGACTTTGGGCGATGTGTTTGATGTTGTAGTATGATCTCATTGACTTTTGTTAAAAATTTCTTTATCCTTCAAACAAAGAAAATAAATACCGAGAAATTATATAGATAAAGAGTAATAAGCAAAATTTAATCAAATGGTTTGTATGAGAGTTATTTTTTCAACTAATAGGTCCTGATCTGACAACAAGCAAGTCGGGCGCCAGCGTTTCCTGTTTTCAGACTCTCGTCATTACCTCCTCTTCCTAAATCATCAGGATCTGCGTGAACCTAAAATAAAGAGACAAGGACATATTGATCTTTTATTAAATCAGGTATATGTTGCTATGTCTATCAATCTTTTATTAGTTAGGTTAATTATACATGTAATCATCAATATAAGCGTAAGAGTTGTTTTCATGCGGAATAACACAGCATTCATTGGAAGACAGTTTGTTCTAGCCAAAAACTTCAGACGAGAGGCCCAAAAATCGTCTACTTTTGATAAATAATATTGTCGTGCTTGTGTAACGTAAAATGAACGGTAATCATCGAGACTTCGCTTTTCAAGGATATCGGACTTAAGCTTATTACAAGCTTCTATGCCAAAAAAGCTTATCAAACGTTTGTGTATTTACGTTTCCATGTATATAATGGTCTAGTCCAGTGGACTGGAATACGGTATGCCGTTAATATGATTGAAATATTCATTATTTGATCATTTAAGTTCGTTAAAAATCATTTTGCAATATCTTGTACCAGGTAAAGGTCTTAACCTGGCAAAATATGTGATCCTTTGGCGGTCCATATAACTTGTTAAAGATTCCCATCCTAACTCCGATAAAACAGAGCATTTTGGAAAGTTCATTTTAGAGTTAATTATAACATGTATAACTTTTGCGACTTTGTACTGCCAACTGTCTAGCATTTCGTTTCCGGATTTTGACGTGGGGTACCATACGACACAAGCATGAGCAATGGAATGACGTATAACCGAAATCCACAAAGCACAGCCAAAATTAAACCGATTAAAATCACCGTGTTCTCCTACGACGCGAATAATATAGTTAAGTTTCTTTTTAAAGTTCTCCTTGAGGTATATCTCGATATGATGATTAAATCTTAATGTTCTTGAGAAATAAACTCCCAAGTATTTGTATTCGTTTACTTCATCAATTAAAACATCCCCTAGAAACCAGTTTTTATTTGCGTTAAGTCTTTTTCCTACCACTAGAACTTTCGATTTTTTGGCATTAAACTTTAGGTTCCATTTTGAAACAAATTCATTGGCAACATTCAATACGGTTTGTAATTCTTCTTCGGTTTTCCCTAGTAAAACAATATCGTCTGCGACGAGTAGCTATATATAGACTACTTATAACTTCTGTCGCTACATTAATACCGAGATTCTTTTCTTTTATCATTAGACATTAGAATAGAAAATAATGTAGGAGATAAAATACATCCTTGTTTTAGGCCAAATTCTTGGTCAAACCAGTCTGATTCGTAATTTCCAAAAATGACTTGTTACTTACAATTCTATAAAGAGAACGTAGTAGTTTCCAGCATTTTCCTTGAATACCATTTTACAAAAGAAGATACAAAAGACCATCCCTCCAGACTTTACCAAAAGCAGAGGATAGATCTAAGAAAGCTAGAAAAGTTTTTTCCTTTTTTGTTTTTCTTAAAGAACAGAGCCCATGAAGGGTGAAAACATGATTTTCAACTCTTCGGTCTTTTCTAAAGGCGTCTTGAGTTTCACCTAATAAGTTCTTATCTTCAATATAATTCATAATTTTGTCCTCAATAATTTTACAATAAACCTTATATACTGGTTCATTCCCTTGTTGAACTTTTCACCAAGATAACCGACCTTGAATGCATTCCAGTTGAATGGCATAAAGGTAAAATAAAGTTAATTCACAAAGGTCAAATCATAAACCGAGCCTCCTTTGTGAATTAACTTTATTTTAACCTTTATGCCATTCAACTGGAATGCATTCAAGGTCGGTTATCTTAGTGAAAAGTTCAACAAGGGAATGAACCAGTATATCACCACCGTATTAAAGAAATTCATTGGGTATGTTGTCGAAACCACTAGCTTTACTCTTTTTGATTCTCTTAAGAATTTGCGAAACTTCTTGCTTGTCTATTGAAAGCAATACAGATGTATCCGACTGAATCAAATTGTGATCTATTTTGTATATCAAAGATTTAACATCGTTAACTAATTCGGTTTTGCTATTTTGCATTGGTCCTATTGAATTAAAATGGTCAGATAAGGCTTTATTAATTTGACCAGGTTCCGTCAATTATTTCGCATGGCACACTACCATTTTGCTTTATTTCAGGAAAATCCCAAAAGCCTTTAATTTTATTTTTGGAATGTATGCATTTGCATGTGAATTGTTTCATTTTAACTAAACGTTCTTTTTTTTTAATAGCTTGGTGAACTTTTTCTTTTAAGTTTTTATAGATATTTGTTAGTCGCTGGCCTAATTCATCGTCGTGTGGGTGGTTTTTATTATGTATACGCTTAAGTCGATTTGCCATGCGCCTTTGTTATATTAATCACTTTCTGTGTGCACATAATGTGGATTTTCGGAGTGTGTGAAAAAAAAAACTGTTTTAGTGACGAAACTTCTACAGATAACTTACCACTATACCTCTGCCGAGGATTGAAAGCTCTGGTTTTTCTTGCATTCTAATGAAATGGTCGTAAATAGCCAAATTCGCGACTCCTCTGTTGTTTGCATAAATATTACCAAGGTCTCCGACATGGCGACGTGGTGCATCACTTGGTCCTGCATGATTTTGGTTGAATGGATTAAAATGTGGTCCTGCATTACTGCAATCTATAGATTTAAGATGAATAAAAGCATACAAGAATAAGGAAAAAAACAAATATATTTACTTAATACATTGAAAATGTATATGTTTAGACGATGATTTATCGCAACAATATATTTTATTCATATACATCGTACTTAATTTCATATTGCGTAAATTTAAAAATTCTTATTAATACAAAGATACAAGAAACCGCTGCTAATTTAGAGCACTAATTGCGTATTTGAAGGTTTATGTATCGTCAGTTGTGGTCAAAACCAAATACTGAAAATCCGAGAGTAGCATATTAATCAAACATCGAAACGTAATAGAATGACAAGACCACAAACAAAAGTTAAGGATACATAATCTTAATATTTATGAAATGTGATATCTCTTTTGTCAAAGGTTATTTTGAATACGCTAACTTACTACGTCCAAAAGTCCCTCGTTCATGGACATGGAAGCCGTGTAGTCCAGGTCTCAAACCATATATTTGCCCTTTTATCTGAACAAGTGGGGTATTGTACTGAAATGATATATGCATTAAATTAAAAACTCTACACATAAAAATGAAAGCGTTGTCCTTAATTTTAGGGACCATCTTGTTGTTTTGGTAAAGTGTAAGCTGTTGAGTTCATCATTGAAGATCAGTAAGAGTCATGGTAATGGAATAAAAACAAGAACTGGTCTCATGTGAACTATGTAATCCTTAACAAAGACACAAAAGTGGGCAGCCTCCTTTACCGTTTGTGCTCTTGCCTTTTTTTAATACTTGTTCCCTCGTAATTATTGTATTGATTTTTAATTAATTCACTTCCTGTATATGCAGATATTTGCCACTTGGTGTTAAGCAACAACAGTCAATGAAAATTCCTGCGTCACATGTCCAGAAAACAGATGGACACACGATAAAGTTCATGTTCAAATTCGGATCTGATCGTAAAACATCGGGCCATTCGTGGGGGCATCTTAAGCCATCGTATGACCGCCGGCTCAGTTTCTGAGGCTCCGGCAGCAACTTTGTGAGTGGTTTAAAAAATCTTTGGCATGCCAAAAAATTGCCAAAAGACCTTGGCATGCGAAGGTTTATTTTCGTGTATTCATTTTGCACTTCGTAAGGCCAATATGGGGGCATCTAGTCAATTCGTGTGTGGTTCGGGTGCCATCGTGTAACCTTCTGTAGGCATAATACTTTCTTCGGCTGTTGATTGACTGCTGACCAAGTTCGGGGTCATCTTCGTGTGACATTGAAAATTCCATATTCGTATGGCAATCTGGTGTCAATTTCTGGACAGTGTGAAGCCTGCATTAATAAATACCTGTACGATTTGTATGTAGATTATATTATAAAGTTTAATTTTTTTTTTCACCTACAATACCAACTTCACCTGCAAATGGGACATACATTTCCCTACTCATTTGCTATTCATCAACTTGCAGCTGCTACTCAGACTTTATAAAACGTCACCAGTTTCTGAGCATAAAGTTGATGAACCAGGCTTATGTTTAAGAACGTATTTTCTAAAAAAAAGTTCATCGGAAGATACCAAACCTTGTTGGTAAATACTCCGTACCAACTTCAAAAATAAAAAAATTATACATGATGGTCTTGAATTATAGATTCTAGGTACTGACGTTGTTTATCATCTTAATTACGTTCTATAGCGTATTTTTTTTATTTGTATATTTTTGACATTTACTGTTTAGTCCAATTTTTGTAACAAACTTTTGGTGTATATACTTGTTATTTATACATCTCGCCATGGTGTTATTGTGCTATGGTGATTTTTGTATTCTTGTCTTTCATTTTTGATTAATGTACTTTGTCTATAGAGTGTCTACTTAGTATATGCCATTTAGTTTTTATTTGTTGAAATAGTTATTTGTTTCTATAGTGAGTAAGATTATAACCCAATGTTGACTGCTGTACCCCAAGTTTTAACATTTTTACCTATTATGTCTGTTGGTTTTGCTCACACATTGTTGTCAATATATTGGAATTCTATGCGACTGTCATACAAGTGAGAGGTTTAGCTAGCTCTAAAACCAGGTTCAATCCACCATTTTCTACATAAGGAAATATCTGTACCAAGTCAGGAATATGACAGTTGTTTTCCATTCGTTTGATGTGTTTGAGGTTTTTATTTTGCCAGATGATAAGGGACTTTCCGTTTTGACTTTTCCTTGGAGTTCGGTATTTTTGTTATTTTACTCTTTTTTGTAATGAGAGATTTACAAATGGTCATATAGATGTTTTTTCTTTCTTTTGATTAGTACATGTTCTTAAAAAGGTCGATATTGGAGTGTGAGAATGCATATTTTTACAGCCACCAAATACTACGAGCTTGATTTCACTAACTAAAAAATGGGAAAATACATTGATAAGAAGTTAGTCATTTTAAAAAGGAGGAGTCAATAAAACCAGGCGAAATCAAACGCTTCTCTATATCAACCAACGGAATATTGTGGATGTTCGAATATCACATTTTAAAAGTAATTTAGACATAATCAAAGGGTTACTAATACGGCCATTTCTATAATAAGAAACAAACTTTAGATACTTGCAAATTTATCTGGTGCAACCTATAAAAAGCCTTCTTCTGAAGTGAAAATGGAAAAGATGCTGAATTACTTAACATAACTTAATATCTTTTCCTATACAGTTATAAGCATTTACGGTCCTACATCCAGTCGATACTTTATATTTGACATTTCGCAAGGTCAGGTTTTTTCAATACTGTTTATGAGGTCTTAATACTAAATTCATTGGATGTGTACTGTGTATTACCCCGGTAGGTATTTAGTCACACCATCTTTAGACGATCTACCGGAAGTACCCAGAATCCCCCTCTTTGGAATAATGGATACTTAAAGCAGACGCTAATAGCCAGCAAAGAGCCATCCAAGAGCATCAGTGCGATTATGCACTTAACCTAAGGTAAGCAGACGCGTCAATTCTTACATTTCTTGAATTAAGTCTGGGAAACATGATTTATTTGTTTGTTGTAATTGGCTTTAAACTAACTTTCAGTAACGGAAATCGAATCTTTGTATCTTTAATCTTTTTATTAGTTGTTATAGTGGTTTTTGTTGACCTGATAAGTCCAGCCTTTTTGTTAGTTGTTTTAGTGGTTTTTGTTGACCTGATAAGTCTAGCCTTTTTGTTAGTTGTTTTAGTGGTTTTTGGTGACCTGATAAGTCAAGCCTTTTTCAAGTGATGTTTGTATAGTTCGTTCTCAGGTGCTGTTACATCAATGTCCTAGTAAAGAGGTAGGCTTAAGTGCTGTTACATCAATGTCCCAGTAAAGAGGTAGGGTTAAGTGCTCGTTTCTATGTTTAACCCCGCCACATTCTGCATATGTACGTCCCAATTCACGATTTTTGATTCAATGGTTGTCGGAGGTCGCTGTCTATAATTTTTTTAAAGATTATTGTTTTATAAATTAATTAGGCCGTTGGTTATTGTCGTTTGAGTTGTTAATTCTTAGATTTTTATAGCTTACAATTAGATATGTGTTTTGCTCTTTGTTTAAGATCGTACAGTGACCTATATTTGTTTACCTCTACGTCATTTGGTCTCTGGTGGATAGTTGTCTCATTGTCAATCATACTACATCTTTGTTTTCTTACCTGCCTGTTCAAATAATTAAGTCATTGCCAACTAGACATATCACATAAGCAATGATAATAACACTGTTTATTATAAATCAGCAGTAATTTCTGTTGTTTATAAAAAAAAAGACACGTATAGATAATATATATACATGACTATTAAGTTAAGGTACGTTTGCGTAACAATTTGTTTTTTTTTTTTTTTTATTTGTTTATTTTTCTGTTTAACCAACTCAAACCAACCTATTTGTAATAATCATTCATACTATTTGTCAGTGTTGACCTTACACTTTGATAATTTAACTATCAATAATCTTGTCTATGTACGCGGTAGTTACAAACAAGTTAATAGTGTACAGTAGAAGTTCTTGCTTATATAAATCTCATAAAACTGGGTTGATTGACAGCATGTGAGGAATGATCGTTTGAAATACTAACTTGCAAAGCATTTGTGGCTTTAAAAACACGTGTTGTCAGAACATTTACTACTCTTGGTCTAAATAACACAAGATATTACTTAATCTTTCTCATACGTTTTGAAGCAGGGTTAGCCGTCCATGGACTCTGTTTCGATTTGTTGGGTCATACAAATGGCAGTATGCTCTGGTATCTCTTTGTCCTGTTGACAGAAAAAGAATATTTTTTAATATTGTTTGAATGTTCATGTTCGATCTTGGTATTTCACTAGTTCTAGTAAGAAAGAAAAAAAAGTCAAAAAAAAAAAACAACAACAAGGAGGTTGTTCTTATTTGAAAAAGATACTACAAATTGATGTTAATTTTACAGACAATGCATAACAAACATAAAGAGTAAAACAGAAAATTTCAAATATGTATTAGCATATTCCTGTAGATTCTCCCCATTATGTGTGGTCAACAATAGACAACTGTCTATACAATATGTCGAGCTCTAAATCGAAATTACTGTGAAAAAAGAAAGAGGACCGAATTTATTTTACATAAGGGTCATTTTCAAAGTCGTTATATGTAAATGTGTAAGAACATAACTGCATATTTCTGATCTTTTACCCACAAAATGAGCATCTACAGATAACTCGAAACTGCAATTTAGATAGATTTTAACAAATGTATTATATAGTATTTTTTTTCAAAAACAAAAAAGAAAAGAAGAAGAAACAAATTCTATCGTAACTTAACCTGCATTGCATTCTGTTTTTATAAAATAATAAAAAAAAACAATAAATTCGTGCAAGTTGGTTAACGATTAATTATGTAGAAAGAAAATGTTAAATTAATAATTTTGTTTTAAAAAGACTTTCAACAGTAATGTTTAGTGTTATTTTGCTTTTACGAATGTAAATATTTTAATTATATAATTCGGACTCTGCAATATCAAAAATTTGGTACGGTTTTTTTTAACAACTTTCCGATTTTTATTTCGTGATTGAAACATACATGGACAAAGGACAAATGATCCCTTCCTCTTTAACAAAAATAATCAAGATCTACAATTAACAGTCAATTCTCGAAATAACGAAAGAAACATTCATTTTTTTTAAAGTCGGAAGGTCCCAGCCAAGAATTGGACGTCGATTTGGAACTAAAAATAGACTTCGATTACAGGAGCATAGAATCGGCCGTCGATTTTAGAATTTCACTTAATGATGTAGTCAGATAAGACGTCGATTTGAGGAATAAATGCAGATTACAGACCGGACGTCGATCTGAGTCCAACTTATATAATTTTAATTATTTACAATTTGTGCAACGATATCAATAACAGATAAGATATACGAGCAAAATGAAATTAATTTATTTCGGCAAAACAAACGGCATTACAAAGCGCTTGACACTGATGACGGTTCTTTGTCGTGCCGAAATATTTGTCAATACGATTCCATTTTATTTTGTTTATATATTTTTATCTGTATCGCTGAACAATTGTTTGGTGTTGATACCTTTACATGTGTGTGGTATTGTCGTTTTCATTTGTTCGTGGCTGCGAAGAAAAAAGTGTCTCTCATTAAAACATGTTATCTAGAGATTATGGAAAGGGTTTACAACTTTTACTGTATAGCACGGACACAATATATAAATACAAAATCGTTCGCGCAAAAAATTAGGAAACGAGACTGTGCTAGATAATCGTGAAAAAAATCGTCCTGTGGGTTCAGTATCAACAGATATTTTCAAAGTGATTATTTTAACAATATAAAAATAAGGAGATGTGGTATGATTGCCAACGAGACAACTATCCACCAAAGTTCAAATAAAGTGGATGTAAGCAATTATAGGCAACCGTACGGCCTTCAACGATGAGAAAAATCCATACCGTATAGTCGGCTATAAAAAAAACCCGACATGAAAAATATGAAATAATTCAATTGAGAAAACTAACGGTCTAATTTATAACAAAACAATTTACGAAAAACAAATATGACGTCAACCAACGACAACCACTGAACTACATAGATTAACAATGTCTTGAATGAGAAATAATTTTTAAATAAAAGAACGTCAGATATTAAAAATTATCATGAATCATTGGTAGAGAAGGAGAGGATGAAAGAATTGCAAACGTAACATGTTTGTGATGTGACGCAGATATTCCGTATTAAATGGCTTAACAAGTGTGAAAATGACTTCTTCAACTTTACCGACGATAAATTACATTTGAATTGTTGGATAAACATAAGGAAAAATCTTTTGGATATCATTTTACTCTATATCGTCGCTTTTAACCCTGTTTCATTTGTTTTGTCAGAATATTTATCGGGGAAAATCCGCGTAGAGAAAAGTGAGAAAGAGGTGTTCAGTGGTTAGGCAACCATTAATTACTTTTAAGCCAGCAAATCCGGAATATGGAGCGGAAAGGTCTAAGAAATTAAGGACAATTACAGAATATATTTTGAGGCGATGCAGATGGAAATCCCGCTTTTTTGAAAGACAAAAATTTGTTTTCTTTTATTAATGCATTTATCATATTTTTACCGTCCATCTTTTGTTACAAAACAAAGGTTTCCCGTCATTCACCCTTTTTATTAAACCTACATTTACCCCTAAAAAGTTTCACATACAGTCATTTTAGGAGTTAAAGCATTAATAAGCAAGCTGAAATTTAACTTTTTATATAGATATTATAAACATGTTAGCAATTTAAAATCGCAAGCATTTCGGTGATGTTAAATTTCACTGATCTAAATGAATCTGCTTTTTACACAGAAGGATGTGTCCCTTCCTAAGGTACATTGTTTTTGTAGCTACGGATGACATTCTTTTTTAAGCGTATAATCTCAAGAAGGCTTACCTTGAACTATTGATGTAGCAGTTAAAACAAACACGCCTAACGTAAGTACAAGAATCATTTTTCCTTGTTTGACAACTTGTATATTGTTGATCAGTATTTATATGTATAGGTACAGGGCTGTGCTGTTGACACTTGTTGTTTCATTTATGTTTATACATGTATATTAAACGACTTATACGAACATGTATAGGTTGTCAGATCTATTAGTTATTTAGTATAATTTTGATGGAAGTTACAATTTGGAGGATCTTATGAATTTCGTATGATTTCGTACACCGCCTCTGGGAAAGAGTTCACACCACTTTGAAATAATGTCTGCCGCTAGATGTAAATGTAAACTATTTATAGTCTAATCTATCGGGCCAAATTCTACAGTTGTCCTCGAAACCAGAAAACTTTATCGCCCAAAGTTACCGTGCTAAAGAGAAATTAGAAGGTTTTAGCGTTTTGTGACATTTATTCGCTTATTATAAATTGGGTAGAATAAAAGAAAAGCAAGGAAAACCTTTTTTTTTTTTTTTGGCGGGAGACATACATACAAATATATACTACATCTGCTAAATGTTTTTGTTGTTATTTCTTTACCTTGGACTTTTTATACTACATATGGTAAAATGTTGTGGTTTTTAATTTATTGAAATGCTTCAAGAGGGTAAGTGTCTACTGCTATGCATACATCACCCGTCTTGCGAATCCACACTCCGTCAAAATGTCACAATTGGGATTAGGACGCAATCTGTTAAATTACAAATCAGACGCGTACGACTTTGACGTCATCTAAATATCTTAGACTGTGAAAACATGTTGCTAGTGAGGTAGGACAAAGACAAGTTGTATCATTTATTTCATAGGTTAAAAAAGCACCTTTCAACCGTTTAGTTCTGTACATGTTTGATACGAATGATGTAAGACTTGTTCGACAACGAATACTTATTCGTGAATAATATAAGGTCGCAAATTAAAATAACGAACATAATATACATGTAAATATCTCAAACAATTTGTTTCCCTTTTAAAACAATTATAGTATAATATGAAAAAAATGCATATGATACGCAAATATGTAGACAGACAACTATTTGTCTAAACATTTCTAACTAAATTGTGAAAATTAGACTCTAACTACTAGTAATTTTTAAATAAAACAACAGAGTAAAGACTTTGGTCTCCCATATATTCGCGTGCGAGACGGCAATTAAGCTTCATTTACAAACTTTTCGTCATTTTACAAGGTTCCTAACAACAAAGAGATACTCAGGCCTAATACGACCGGTTACAGTTGTAAATAGATACCAATATGCACTCATTTGAACTCAATATATATTCTTACCTTTTTCAATGTACTCAGAGACACGTGAGTTTCGACACGTCATATCATATTTTTACGCGTGTCCTAAGCCAGGTGCCTGTTATACATTGGTTTACCTTGCTAACTGCAATATAGTTTTCGTTTAATACTATTAGCTTCAATCCTGATTTGGGGTTTTCCTTTTAAAATGTTTACATTTTGTAATCAAAATGTCCTTTTTAGCCTACTATATAATAAGATTTAGACAATTTTAGATATATATAAATAATAATAATTTGAATACCGGTATATTGATTGGTAATTTTTAATGGTCAATTTTGAGACTTGTATGTTTTTAAGTGATACATTTGAAGTTTTTATAGAATTCTAAGTTTTATAGTGTCTCATAAGTCGTTTGTATGGCTGGATATTATTGTTTGATGTGTATATATTTATATAATGTTGCTTATTTTTGTGTCAATCAATATGTGACACTTGAATAAACTATTTACTTACTTGCTTAGTCGAAGGCCGCGTGGTGAACTAAAGTTATTTATATCCTTGGCTTTGGTCTTTGGTGGATAGTTGTCGCATTGCCAATCATACCCCTTCTCCATATCTTAATAGTTATCGTAAACTGTACTTATTTATATCATTGTGATAACTCTTCCGGCATTAAATACACATGAAAACCGTTTTGGTTTAATACTTGTTTTATCCTATGGCTGTCTTACACAACAGATATATGATATCAATCCACAGTAGCTACCCTTCTGGGGGTCTAAATAAGTTAGCTACGAAAGTTAAACCAAGACCGAGACACCAACTAAGGACAACTAAGGACAACAACCATCTAAGAGATCAAATAACACACCGGATGATAGAAAATCTCATCGAAAATCTTCATTCCAACTATACATCTACTGAAAAAGATGAGGAAATATAGTCAGTCAATGTACTGTATTAAGAAAATAATCATGTTTAAGTAACTGTCTATGTCCGCCAAAATCAGTATATTGGAACAAAACTCTTTCTTGGTCCGTAACTTCTCAAGATATGACTATATACAACATTTCTAATCAATTTATTCAGTCATTAAAGAAAAAATGGAAAACTTATAGCAATTTTCAAGGTATAAGGCAACAACTTCCACAAACATCGATTATAGAAAATAGTGGATATGACTATATTAAATCAACTGATTTGAGCATTAAAAAAGAAAAGATGCAGAAAGTAACATTTTCAAGCAACATTTTATTTCCGAGGGACACAAATTCTGTGATAATCACTAAATCGGAACGAAAATCAAACTTTATCTGCAACTTCTTGCGATACATACCAGATTACAGAACAAATGCGGAAAACGTTTTCAAGCAACCGCTCAACTTACGAAACCCAATTTTGATATGGCACTTCTTACAATGTATGTTATGACAAAATACCAAATTCAGGTATGAATCTAATTCGTCGGTAGTAGATTAGTAAAAACAAAACAGTCGATTGTAAGCTCGAGTAAAACTTAAATATACCAGTTAAAATTGAAACTTAAGAATCAGAGTTGAGCACAATATTTTAAATTTTCACATCTGTTTATAACCTAGATAAAGGAAATTACAGAACTATTAAGTGTATTGAACTATAATAAATTGTGTGTTGTATACTGTACACGTGCTTTTTGTACTATATAATACTATTATTGAAATGGTCGTGTGTGATATGCATATTGTTACATTTCATTCAGATTTTTAAGATGTATTATGGATTGAATTTTGTCGTTTGTGCACTGTTGTGTATTATTGTGAGTTGTAAATAATTGATTGCTGTTTTATTTATTTCTTTATTTATGTTTCTAGATTTTTTGCTTGTGTATTCTGTCATATTTTTATATTATTATATCTTGATAACATTATTGTGAAACATATATTTTGTATCTTTCTGATTAAATGAATTTACATACACAAAACTTGATTTTTTTAATATCAAAACAATCAAAATCAAGGTTGATTTGCATGTGGGCATATTTTTGCTTACACAGCCTTGCATGTAATTCGATCATTTATCCAATTCGTGATTGTTCTTGATAGTCCCAATTTATACCTCTATATATCAAAAATGGATAATCAGGAAAGCCCCGATTTTTTACAGAAAAGAAATTCATAAATTTGAATTCGGAAATTCAACGAGGCAAGGTCAATTTTCCTATCATTTATTTCACTCAGATATATTTTTGTTTTGTTTCTGACTCATTCTGAATTTATTGATATGTTTCACATTTTTTCATATGATAAAATTTATGCAATTCAATTTTCTTATGAAGAATTTCGGAAATCACTTACTGTTAGTGGCAGCTGTAAAAAATATAAAATAATAGCAGAAACAGAATGGTGTATGATTTTGTATCTATAGTTAGTATAGTATTTGACATTAATGGTGTTTAGTTGTGCATTAAAGAATTTATTCTTTTATATATTAATGACATTACAGATAATCTCCATAACCTAGCAAGTTTATTTGCAGACGACACCTCTCTCTCATATTCTGGTAGCAACTTTCAAACAATTGAAAGTGATATTAATAAAGACCTTTTTAGTTTAAATGAATGGGCCAACAAATGGTTGGTAGATTTTAATCCAAAGAAAACCAAAGCATTGGTGATTGCAAATGTTAAACCACCAGTAATTTTATTTAATGGTGAAAACGTTGAAACTGTTAAATGTCACAAGCATTTAGGTGTCACACTTTCATCAGAAGGAAACTGGACCAGCCATATAGATAATATTACAAAGTCTGCATTAAAACAAGTAAATGTACTAAGGAAACTAAAATTTACACTTTCCAAAAAACGCTTATCCAATATCTATGTCACTTTTATAAGACCACTATTGGAATATGGATGCGAAGTATGGGATGGGTGTTTTGAATATGAATCTAATAAACTAGAAAAAATACAATTGGAAGCTGCAAGGATAGTAACAGGGCTTACACAATTTTCAAGTTTAGAATCCTTATATTTTGAAACGGGCTGGGAAACTTTAGCAGAAAGGCGTAGACAACGAAAATTAACAATTTTCTATCAAATGCATAATTAATTTTGTCCCCAATATTTAATCTACAGTTACTGTCTACCTCCAGTTACATCTGATGTCAGTGGATACAACCTAAGAAGTAATGATAATTATATACCCCCTAGATGTAGACTACGAATAACTGAAAAGTCATTCGTTCCATCTACTGTCAGAGTATGGAATAATTTAAATCCAACAATAAGAAACGCACCAACTATCCCACAATTTAAACGAAAAATAAAGAGTGAACTATTTAGACCTCCAACATATTATGGTGAAGGGCCTAGAAAATTTAATATTCTGCATACAAGACTAAGGCACCAGTCCAGTTCATTACATGCAGACTTAAATAAGATAAATGTAGTGAATGATTCTAAATGCTCCTGTGGTTCTCCTGTTGAAGATACCATTCATTACTTTCTAGAATGTCAATTATATTATAACCAAAGAATATCTCTGATTAATGATCTTACAAATATGAACATACACATTGATATTGAAACGCTATTGTTTGGAAAAGATGAATATAATTACGAAACTAACTCATAAAATTTTTGATAAAGTTCGTTATTTCATTAAACAGTCAAAACGATTTTAACGTTCTAAGTCAGCAGCTTTCTTTTTTCTTTCTGTCCTATTTGCTTTTTTGTTGCCATGCCAATGTGTGATTCCTTCCTTTATTTTCTATAACTGTCGCTATATTATGTATGTGTTTGCTGTCATCATATAT